ATTTATTTATATTTATTAAAAATAATTATTTTTTATTTAAAAAATTATAATAAATCTTAATTATGAAAAATTAAAAGATAAATAGTTAAATTTTTTATAAACATAACCAAAATTTATTATAGTAAAGAACTTTAATATCATAGATTTTATCTCTATCTAATAATTTAAATTATATAATTTAAATTATATATTATTTTTTAAATATAAATTTCATTGAATAAAACATCATTTTTAATTAATTATTAAATTTAGAGCAGAAGAAGCCTGACATGAGCAGCCTAATGTGGTGACCCCCCAATTGCCACTTGTAGTTTTGGCATGTCCTTCTCACCTGCCCCTCTGACCCCTTTTATGTTGGGCAGTCAAAAGAGTCCTTTACCGCCCAGATTTCAGTCAAAAAGATCAAAATTCAGAGTCTGAATTCCAAATTTTTGAGGTTGGATTTCTGACAACTTTTCCATATTTGGATCCTAGATTTGAGTCTAAGCCTAGATTCAGCCTTGTATTGTGGTGTCGGATATTAATTTCCCAAGCCTAATATTAGATATCTGGAATTTAGAAAATACGTAATTCCAAAAACAAGTCTGATTTAAAAATCTGAAGAACCAACAACCTCCCCACCTTTTCGATCATATTGGCAGATGAGGCACATGCCCATGTCCTTAACCCTTAGATCCGCACACCTCGCACTTAAATATTTCTATATTTCTTGTCATTTGATATCTTATCCGATTATCTTTTCCTAGTTCATTAGCTTATATGCTATATTCCATAATATTTCTTGCCCTGATCATATCTCTAGCTGTACTCTAACATTATTTCTTCAAATGTAATTCAGTTTTTTTAATCGCAAAGAAAATTAACATTTGATGCTACAAGATCTAATTGAATCCGATGTTCTGATGGCAAAAAAAAAAAAAAGAATCCTGAAATCTCATACAATGTTAAGTCATAGCCACACTTGGTGGGGTAGCTAGAACTACATAATAAATTCAATAATGTTCCTTTGATCTCAAGCTGACAACTCAGGCAATATCTTCATTGCTTCAACACCATATACAGATTAGAAAAGTAGAGAAAATAAATTGAGACGAATTCTTCTTCTGAATCAATTGAATGTTTATCTACCCGGATGGCATTTAGTGCTTCGTTTGTTCTTAGTTTTCTGTCACACCGACAATTCTCACGTACCGGACTGGAATTAGATTTTCCCACCTAAGCATTTATTTCTCCTACCGGAATTTGGCAAAGAAAACACATCTAGTTTTCCGTAGGGGCCGTATGTGGAGTAAGTACCTACCAATAAGTTAATTCATATTGCCAACCGTAACAGATAGGAGTACTACCAGAAATTAAATGCGCTTTATTGAATTACAGTTCATATTCTTTTTTAAATTAATAAGTTCACATGTTTGATTCTGTGCAATTTATTACAGGATGATAATGAAGATTATGGAAATAATGTTGTAAATGTAATGTGGAATTTTTTAAAATTTTTAGGAGTATAAAAAACAGTACAGAAAGAAGAAAATTGGGATATTTCTCATGTGGGACAGGCAATCCGATTGATGATTGCTGGCGGTGTGACCGCCGGTGGTATCTCCGGCGAAAGCGTCTTGCTGATTGTGCAATTGGCTTTGGACGTAATGCCGTGGGCGGTCGTGATGGACGGTACTACGTGGTAAGTGACCCCAGTGACAATGACCCGGTGAATCCCAAACCGGGCACCATCCGCCATGCCGTTCTCCAGGATAGGCCTCTGTGGATCGTCTTCAAACGTGACATGGTGATTAAACTCAAGGAGGAGCTGATTATGAACAGCTTCAAGACGATCGATGGCCGCGGTGCCAACGTTCACATTCCTTATGGGGGGCAAATCACGATTCAGTACGTGACTAACATTATCATTCACAGTGTCCATATTCATGACCATAAGCCCACGGGGAACACCTTGGTCCGTAGCTCTCCAAGTCACTACGGATGGAGGGCGATGGCTGATGGTGATGGCATTTCCATTTTTGGTGCAAGCCACATTTGGATTGATCACAATACACTCTCTAATTGTGCGGATGGGCTTATTGATGCTGTTATGGGTTCTACTGCAATTACCATTTCCAACAATTACTTCACCCATCACAATGAGGTAATTTGAAATTATATTCTCCGCCCTTCATTAATTTGATGATGCTAAATTGAAGTTTTGCCCTTATGATTGAAGTTAAAGATACTAAACTCTGTCTCTGCTTCTGATTCAATAACAGGTTATGCTATTAGGACACAGTGATTCTTACACAAGAGATAAGGTGATGCAAGTGACCATAGCCTATAACCATTTTGGTGAGGGTCTTATCCAGAGAATGCCAAGGTAAATTAAACTCACTATCCTTGAATGATATTCCCTTCATCTTCATAGGAATTTCTTTAACTTGTTGGAATCAAATCTTTGCAGGTGTAGGCATGGCTATTTCCATGTAGTGAACAATGACTATACTCACTGGGAGATGTATGCCATTGGTGGAAGTGCTAATCCCACAATTAACAGTCAGGGCAATAGATATCTTGCCCCTGCCAATCCTTTTGCCAAGGAGGTAATTCAGCTTCACCTTAAGCATACAAATTAAACTTTTTCATGGCTGATGAACTTGATTTATGATGATGAAATTTGACATTTGGCAGGTTACAAAAAGAGTCGACACATCAGCTGATCAATGGATACATTGGAATTGGAGGTCAGATGGAGACCTGATGCTGAACGGAGCCTTCTTCACCTCATCAGGTAGAGGGGCTGCAGCCAGCTATGCCAGAGCCTCCAGCCTGGGAGCCAAATCCTCTTCCATGGTTGGCACTATTACTTCAGATTGTGGTGCCCTGTCTTGTACCTACGGCCGGTTATGTTAATTCTCAAAATCTCCCTTCCAACAACAAAAAACAAGAAATCCAGGAACGGAAAAACACCTCATTTTTCTTCCCGTTTCCATTTTTCTTCCTAGAGTTTGCTTACATTCTGTTCAAATTCTTCGCCTCCTATTCCTATATGCCAATATTTGACAGGTGTACAAAATTTTTACAATCATCATCCTCACATACGTTAATTCACTTGTCATAATGCTCCATTGATCGACCTCGGCTGCCTTTAGGCGCTGTAGAGTTGTTCACTGTTTTCTCTGTAATTAAATGGATTTGCCTTTAGTTTTATTCAGGAGTTTCTCTGTTTCTCTACTCATATTCTTGTTAGCACATAGATTCTACATGATGAAGTAACCTTGCTCAAAATTCCTGTGACTGCATAATTAAATCTCACATTGGTAGCATGTGGCTTAGGCATGTGATGCATTGCTCACCCGCAAGACATAAGCACTTTATTGCTTACCTATTTATATGTGTTGCTGAAGCCATGTTGCAAATGCATGGGACTTAGATTTTGACGACACATCTTCCCCATGTGGATAATCAATAATCGTCTCTCATCTCCTGTTGCATTAATTATAGAAAAATTAAAAATAAATGAAAAGAAATAGAGAACCTAAGAATGGAATAATCCATACATTAAAATGCCTAGAAGTTGAGGTCATAACTGGAAAGGGAGAAAAGCTTAGAAGAGGGTACAAATTTCACTCCTAGTTGCAGTAGGACCGTATAAGGCATATCTATTCCTTGGTTCGATCCCCTTTAACTGCTTTGCAACTTCATTCGTGGTAGGTCTAACGGAGAAGAAAGCCCCTTTTTTTTCAACAACTACAATTTTGGGAAATGAGATAAAAAATTCTCATATTTTGACCGAGTAGATGGCAAGCAGTACTGCTTCCACCCACTTAATCCATAGGTTAGGTCCTGAGAATAAAGCTTTTAGTGTAGCCATTGTGCATGTTACAACTTCTCACGTGCTAGCCTCAACCAGAAAGAGGCTAATATTTCCACAAATTTTAAGATACATCAGCAGGAATTTATGTCAGTGCAAGTTCCACAAGTGACATGGCATTGACAATTTATAATAGATTTCTGATATGGAACTTGAAACTTATAATGAGTCAGGTTCGCATTAATTACGGATATTGCTGACATGGCATCTGCTTGCAGTAAAGAATTTTTCCTAATCAAAACCATCAGCCCAACATCCAATTGCAAGTTTTAACGCTTATACGACTAACCCATCTTCCATGGGATTCTCGATTCCCTTATACTTCCACATGGAAAACCTCCATTGTTGTTTGAGTCAACTTTATTCCTCAACTAGAGAAGTGAACTTGTTTGGGCAGCTTCGCGATCCAACATTGTTGATACCTTCAGCTACTTCAACACTTGAAATTCCTGAAAATGTTTCCTCGGAAAAAACACTCTGACACTCAAGTTAGTAATACTCAATATTCTAGAGAGAGAAGGTCCCAAAAAGTAATTGCAGAGAGAGAAGCGTAACGAAGTTAATACCTTGCATAGAGGTAGTTAGAGGTATTTATAGCCCCATGCACTGACATGAGTCTGCATGTGCGTACATCCCATTGGCCCACGTGTCACTGCCCATGTGGGTATGTCTCCACAATTTGGGTCTTGTGGATGTGTGACTGGGCCTATTGGGCATGGCCCAAATTGAATGTTGGGCTCAATCCCAACATTACTCCCCCCTCAGTGTTCGGTTGACGAACTGGGATGAAGGTTCTATTGGCCCAACGTTCTGTCTGGAACGTGAGGGGTAAACCCCTTTGGATTTTAATGAGTACTCTCGCCCCTTGCTGAATTAGGCGGCCTCGTCAGGCGTGTATAGATATGCCTCCTTCATATCGAATA